CCCCTAATATTTATTGAACAAAGATTTTCCTTGTGATAGAGCGAGATAAGAAAATATGGAAATTCTTAAATAGACTACAGGAATATATATAATCGTAGCAAAAATATGTAACTGCCTCCGTGGTCGAACGGTTACCGGACTGCCACGCAGAGGTCCCAGGTTCGATTCCCGGGCCGGGAGAAATGTTTGTATGGCTTACATTTATTTCTCTCGTGAGTTTGGGTGTAATTTGTGGTTGTCTATGTGTGTGTCCATGGCACCCGCGACACAGGGTTTCCCTAGTGCGGGGCTATGTTGAATGTGTGCGTTATTTATTTATTTTATTTATTTCGAAAAAACCCAGTGCAAAAAACAAATTATATGTTTAGACAAATACAGACATATTATAAATCTTGAAGAACGCTGTCTTCGCTTAGGTCCTAAATTAATATCCCAAGCTTCTAAGAACTCTATAATAATATATGATAGGATCAGAAATAACAATTCGCTAAAGAAACTATATTTGTTACAGTTAGCCAGACAATCACACCAATTGACTGGTCTCAAACTAGAGAATTCCCTATACTGTGAGTAACAGAGGAAAGGAATTCACTGCGGAGCACTATCCGAAACACCCATTATCTAGATAAGATATGTAAGCCGAGGTTGACCTTTCCCCCACATTATCATTCCCATTCGCTCTATAAATTTATACGATGTATCCATTCGTTCCACTTGACCAAACCATCGACGCCTTTTCTATTCTAGTCACTATGTCCTCTTTCACACTACAACGCTCTCTTATCACACTGTCCGTAATTCTATCGCTTCGGTTAAGCAAAAATGATGAGCTAAGCAAGCATTCCGTGTGAACAAAACATACTTCATCATCATAAACATACGCCTGATATTGATTTTTAATGAATATTATGATATTTTACTACCATGATATCCATTTATTTTTGGTGAAATTACTTTTTTTACATTAATAACAAGGACTGAATACAAAGAAAAATTCCTTCGATCTAACAGGACTAGAACCTGTGTCTGTTTTGGCAATCTAGGGCAACGCTACGATAAAAAAAGCCGTTAAAAACCAAAAACAAAGATCTAACTCAATGGAAGACTGCTGACTACATCTGTAGGTCAGTTGGTAGAGCGGTTGCCCTAGATTGGCAAAAATTCGAGTCTCGTCAGATCGAAGGATTTTTTGTTAGTACCTAGTTTGCCTAAGTTTAAGGAAGAAAATACGAAGTAACTCAACTTAACGAAGTAACTTTATATGAAATACAAAAATAAAGATTGCCATCTTTACTTAGTCGAAGTCAAAGTTCATTTTATAAATCTCAGCCTTGGATCACACATCCTACGCAACGTTCTACTTTCTACTCCTTTCACGGTGAAATATAGCGAATGGCAAAAAACGTGTAATCAGTCTGTCGGAAAAAGCGGTAAATCCCACACAAGGATACATGAGTATGTTATACAACAATAAACAAACTCACATACAATACATTATGACGTATTTGTTTAATGACTCATAATACACGTTTATATAGTTTCTCAATTTGTGGTCAATACTAATACTCGTGTCACGCTCGATCAACTTGTACATGTGTTCATATTTATATAAATTTATTTAAAAAAAATTTTTTAGTTATATTTAAAAATTTACCAATCTGTGATAAATTAAAGAATTTCCCTGATATAGTAGAGCGTTTTAGTGACAAGAATGCATTTTATAATGTTTGTTATGTGCGTTATGACTTACAACCTGATTGGTGCTAAGGCTGCTCCTGTTAGTGATAATAATATTAGCGATAGGTAAGAGGAAAATCATTAATCGTTTTTAAAAAAACCCAGGTTTTTAAATAAAATCTGATCTTGACACATTCGACACTGTGTCAAGAAAATGTCTATTTATCATAGAAAATGTAGGGATTATAAATACAGTTTGCAGGCACGTGTTCCGTTACCTAGCTGTGAGCATTAAGAAAAATGCTACGTAGCGCTTGGTCCTAATATAGACAAAAATTTGCTTTTCCAATCACATTTTGTGTGGGAAAGACTTACTTTCGATTTTTTTTATACTTTTTTGTATACAATATCAAGTAACTAATATAAAATTTGCAATCTAATAAATCTAAAAACTAATATAAAAAACAGGTGTAGTGAAAAATACAAAAGTATTAATGAATGAATCATCGATATAGTATTATAGTACATAAAATGATGATACTATCATTGGAAACGAAAAGTATTGTTTTCGGATTTAACAACGTGCACATTTCTTTTATCTTTTTTTTTAATAAAAACAAGTGCGCGTTGGATCTCCATCTCACCTGTTCGAATTTTTTTTTTCAAACAAATCAGCGTTTCGGTTTGTATCATGGTATGCAGCAGCAAAGGTCGGCTGTGACTATGCGACCTGTTTGTTTGATAAAAAAAAAAACAAATATACGCGATTCTACATCCGAAGAAATAGTTTAATCTGCAATGTGTAATTATGGTGAAAACCTAGGAACTCGCTATCGAGTATCTACAAAAATACTGACACACCTTCAAAGTATTATCTATGTACATATATGTAAACTTGGTGAACACATCAACCTACAAGTATATCTCAGTTATCGTAGGTACCTAGGTGTACTGTGCTATGAACTTCAGAATTCCTAGTATGTCATGTATATCGGGTATACTATACGTATATTAAACAAAACCATTCAATTTGAATCACAATTGTAATCACAGTTATAATATTTCCTCCAAATACCTATATATTACCACGCATTTAGATATGACAATGGTCTATCGAGTACAGAGCAAGTCACGTTTGTGGTCTATAAAAATTAGCAGCATTTAAACACTGATAAAACGTTTTATTTGTGCGAATCCAGTAGGATTGGTAAGAAATATCTATATAATTACAATATTGAGTTCCTGTTCCCTATGGAAAACAAACATTTCTATAAGGTTTTGCCAATCATACTATCTACTATATTATAGAGGTTCCATTTCCTACACAAATATAATAATAGGCTTCGGATGCTTTAATATCTCTATAACTTCATTTCAAGTGATAGTTCTATTGTACGTGATAGTACAGCACTAATATAGATTTTTTTCTTCTTTTCAGTGGTAGAGATCATGTAGAATCTTTGGACAGAAAAGTATTTAAACTACCAAGCAAGCTAAAAGACTTCGAAGAGATTCACATTGTGGGAACTTTTAAGGGTTCTACAGAGAGGTCAGTATTTACATGTCATAACTATCAGTTTAGAACAATATTCCAAACCTAAACACTGCACCATATTTCTAAATAATAAAGGTAATATATTAATTATTTCCTTAGAAAATTATTTTAAACATTTTCCTTGTACATTGCTTTGTTTGTTACATAAGCTTCCTTCCCGTAGAGTAATTCGCGTAATTCATTCATAAATTCAATACTTTTTATTGATAATTGGTTTTATAATTACACGTTTCAGGTTGACAGTAAATCTAGTGACGGCAAATAAAAAAAGCGCATCGCCTGATTTTAATAATATTGCATGCCAGATCAGATTGGATTTTAGAAATGCATCTGTAACAATAAATACCGTAATTGGAGGAGAATATCGGCCACCGAAAGACGAAGAGACAGACCCCGACGAATTGTTTTCAGGTAAGTGGTACAAGAGCATATCTAAGTTATTGTCACTCATCATAGGTTTACCTATTTCTAACTTGGATTGTAGGTTAAGGAAAGTCAGCTCAATTATACGCTTAATACCTGACCTTGTCCCACGGCCACCAACGCATTTGCGGTGTTAGGAATACTTAATATCACAAATGTTCATCAGTGGTGGTTACCCTTTACCAGTAGATGGTCTGTGTTTGCCATGGTATTACGATGGCAAAAATAATATACACAAGAACATTTCGTCAAAAAAGGAAAAATATATAGTTATTCAAAGCAAAACTTAGAAAGAATAACCTAAAGACCATAAACTTTTAACTACTTGTTAAAAACTCTGTGTAGGACTCATACTCATAAGATGTATACAATTCCATCGAGTCATTTATCTCTTGAATATTCTAGATAACTCTTAAATATTCTAATTTACCGACAGCGATTAGAACGTATTATACGCAGCACTAACCCCGCATGTAGGTACTGTGCAGTGGCGAGCCGTCCATATAATTCGATTCCCAACTGCTTGCCGAAAATTTTCTACGTATTAATAAAAAAATACTTAGTACACTGCTGTTATGGTCTATTTTCTTCTTCTTTTAAAAGCCACTTTTGGTACACTCGACGTTAGTGACAAGTATGATAAAGATGGTACACACTGTGTAGTGGTGGTATACGCTAATGTTTTTTTTGCTCCGAATGTACTAAAGAATATTAACACAAATCACCTGGTTCTGTATCTACCCGTACATTAGCCCAATGTTGAAGGGGACTTTGCAAGTCTTCGAAGATTTATGAACATTCTTCGTTGTTTCATGTTGCTTACTATCCTGCACATGCATCTTACTACTATAAAACTTTTATCTTTGTATTTATTAATTTTATTTAAGCGTATAGGTATATGATTTGCATTTTATTGTTTAATTTTTTTTTTATATATATATTTTTTTGTTTATAATTTAATCATCATCTATTCACCTGTATAATTAGTATTTTTTACCTGAAATACAGGATTCTCCTAGTTCAGGTACATGTTATATTTTACATTTATTCGCATAATCAGCCTTTAATTATTCATTTGTACAATACGTTATTCAATAAACAATTTTTTTTATTTTTTATTATTATTTTATATTTTCAGAACTAGATTTCGAAATCACGTTCAAAACTAAATCAGATAAAAGGATAAAACTAGAACTGCAAAGCTCGTCGACACTCCATTCCTGTGTCCTCGAACACCGCATGGAAGATATTGAATATTTGACAATTGGAGGTGATTTCGATGAAGTGAAATCGTTAAATTTTATACTAGCGTCTTAGCTTTGAAAAGAAACGACCCTAATTGGGTTTTTGTGAGAAAACATGACATCATGCGTCAAGCATGAATAAAGATACAGAACGTTCACATTGTCACGTCCAGACGAGCGGAAACAATCGTTGTTTTGAGACACTGGATAGTTATGACGACAAAGCGAGACAAGGAGATTGAAATGAACGTGGTTAGAAGTACCTAGTTACTTAAGTCCATAGTGATGTATTAGAAGTGATACGAACAACACATTTATAACCCAAACAAAGGAAGTTGGGCAAAACTGTGGTGTGTGGAACACAAACCTCTTTACACATAAGTACTTTCCTAACGAATCACATACTTACGTTCTTGCTAGAAAAGATATGTCGCTGCTCCTCAAAGCCCATTTTTTATATACAGGAATATGTTTTTTAAGCATTGTACAGAGGAAATTTTTGGTCTTTTATCAGGTGCAATTTTATCCAGTCATTTCATAAGTTAAGTTATAAAAAAATACCGTGAAATAATGTTCTCAAATATATTGACTACCTTTATGTAATTATTACGTATTTTACTGGCCTTAATCTTTACGTACTTAATCTATTTCAAATAGCACTATAAAAAACTTCAAACAAACAAAGCATCTAAACATTAAACAGAAAGTTTTTAATTATTATTTGTATTTTAATAAGTATTGCGGTGTCATTAGTCATCGATTCTCGCGATATTTTCCTTACTCTAATTTTTGGACTAAAGAAAATCGTTTGCGATTACTGCTTTTTGTTTCCTTTTTTTTAATCTAAAAAAACAACTAAATATGTATAAAGATAGGAATAAGCAGAATATATCTACCTAAACTTCAAGTAACGATAATACTTCCCTCTCAGAGAAAATTCCGTTACTATGGTACTCATAGTACAAGGAATTCTTAGTTTGAGACAAGCAGCTTGATTTTGATTGCCTCTACCGACCGGTCGGAAACTCCGTCTTTTCCGAGTCGAGGCGTATAATATTGCGGGTGGGCTACCCGATCGGATCGGTTCCGATTTGAATTAAAATCAGGGCCCAGGAAATTGATATGGTTGTCTGACGCATTGTTGTTATTATTACTAACAGACGTTTATAACGTTACGTATGTTTCATAGTTTGATTTTTCAATGGTTGAGATAACATACCAATTTCTTCGGTTGCTTATGGATTTATACCTGTTGTATGTATGTAAGTACGTACAGATGTGCAATAAGAACGTCACATCTAGACTTAGAACGTTTGCGCAATACGTCCGATTGGACTCTCGTTCTCCGTCCGACATCCGAAACAATTACTGTCAAATAACTAGTACTCGACAATATTAAGAGACGCATCGCAACATGCGTCTTATAACTTGGATGTTGGATGCAGATAGAGAGTAGACCCCCAGAACTGAATCCGAGAAATGACGATCCGAAATGTCACAGGTGCCATTTTATCTCCAGGTATACAAGCGACATCCGAAATGGGTCCGAATTTGTCTCGATTTCAGGTATGTATAAACTTTATTTATTGTTGGAATTAGTGTTTTTTTTAAGATATATTATAATAATTAGTTGATGATGATATATAGTTGAATTAGTTACATAATATTATTCTATGTAGATTAACATAAGAATCACAGAAGGAATCACTTTTCAAGGCCAAGCTTTTCTTTTTTCTTTTTCTTTTATTACTTTAGCAACGCTTCGCTGACTCTGCTAATAGGTTTTCAAAGTACAGATTTAAATAGATACATGTAGGTTCAAGTACAAAGTATTACATACAGAGTTTTAAAAAAAGTGCAAAAATTTCATAGGACGACGCAGCACACATACCTAGTGTTTTTTTTTTCAATTTTCTCGATACGAATATTGAATATCTAATTAACGAATTTTTTTAACTTCTCTCATAACTTGTCCAATTGCCGACTGTCCGGATGTCCGATCACATGAAAAGAATTTAAAAAATGCGAATTGGATATGGGCTTTTTAGGCAAAGTGATTTAGTATCGTGTGTAGAGTTCTATAACAATTGAATTTATTTTTTAATTAAAGGCAACACACTAGTATTATGTCCTTCAATATAACACAGTACTCTAATATACGCCAAAAACGACATAAATATTGTTTACCTAACACCAATGTTGTATACAATTTTAATTGTATGTAATATTTAAAATAAGTATTTGTTGTAAAATAAAAATAAAATAAGGACAGACGGTAATTGAGAAAGAAGTTACCAGGCCCAGAATTGCAGAACATTTTTATTTTTTAGCACAAGCATAACCCCAATTTCACTAGGTATGGAAAAAAACTGCTTTTTTTGAATTTTATTAATTATTACGTTGTGGTTTTTAAAAAAATCGTGCTTAAGCTAAAAGCTCTTTTCATTTAAACTCTTTTTAGTTTGCAAAATCGTTTAGAAAAACTTTTAAGCGTCATAGTCATCATAGACGTTATGTTGCAATGTTAAAAAAAGCTTGCAACATTGTGTTTTCAGCAAAAAGCGAGAGTAGGCCTCTAAACGTTACACGATAAGTAAATTTATTTGTAAAGACGAGTTTTATTTTTATTTATAACTTTATTATATACAAAAATTCGTACAAATTAAAACTGTTATATTTTGTTAAACTGTTTAAGTGGTACAATAAAGATTTGGATGAAATAAAAGTATTATTATTATTTACATTGATGAATTAATTTGTTTAAGAGACCGATGGCGGGACTTGAAACTGAGGCACGTTGTAAAAAATTAAATTGTCTCCGTCTCTACATCAGAGTTCTTGCGTGGGTATGTCCCTGTTTTAGGGAAAATTATACAGTTACTCAAAGGCCTTTTATACGTAAGAGAATTTAAGCAATTCTTGAAAAAATAAAAAATTAAGTACGGGTTACCATAAAGTATCCGAAATTAAATTAAAAAATTCACACTTTAAGTTCATATTATATCTAAGAATATTAAATTCTCACTTATTGGAACGGCGTAAAGATACTCATTGTTAAAAAGATGGCTTCAGTGTCGCGCATAAGAAGTAATTTTCTGCTATCTGTCGTTGTTATCACAGTGCACTTTCAGTTTTCATAATATTACTACTTCTATTTTATATCCGCGTTAATACTGCTAATTCGTATTAATTCCCACATTATTTTTGTCTTTTCCAAGGTTGAAATTTGAACTATGTATGTGAATGAATATGAATCTATGTGTATGAAGTGCGCAGCACTAACTGGCAGTGGCCGTAGTACACTTATTTGCGCGCCGTCGCAATTGGTAGGTCCATATTAATTATTACATCAGTAAAGAAGTTTAAGGATCGCATTCCAGATCTCTACTTAATACTCAAGTCAGGATTTGAGTATGATTTACAGCACTAGAAATCATACTCAAGTCCTTGCCATTTGGGTCGTATTTCCAGTGCTCATCGGTCGTATTTCAAGTCCTGACTTGAGCATTGGGTAGAGTTCTGGAATACGACCCTAAGAGTGCCTTCAAATTAGAAGCGCTGCAGTGGCTCCACAGTGGCGATGTAGACGCGCCACTAATAATTTTCATACAATATTTAGAAGTGCAGTTGCAACGCCACGTCGTCGTGACACGCGCGCGCTACTTTTTCGCGGCTACGGCATCACTGCAGCGCTTCTACAACAGTCTAATTTGAAGGCGCCCTAAATTCTATTCTCTTGTTGAAGAGTTAAAATATATTTGAAATAAAACATTTAAGTTAAGTAAGCTGAGCTACCGCAAATACAAACATTTAATTTTCACATGTATGTAAACGAGGATTGCTATACCCGGTTTGTTTGCACGAGCGACACTGGCCATAATTGACAATGAAATTTTTAAGTAAATAAGTTTTGAACACACAGGGTTCTGACAAGGTTTCTTGTGGAACATTAAGTTCAACACACTAGACACATTTAACAAGAATATATTTGTTACTGCAGCAACATTAATGGATGATACGTATATAGGAGCGAGGACAATAAGTAAGATAATACAGTACATTACAACAGTGATGGTTGTAGCTTAGTGGGAGAACATTTGCATGCAGATGCAGATCAAGACCAAGACCGAGTCTGTGTCTCGCAGTTACGTCAAACTCTTAATATTTGCTATATAAATGTAACGTAACCAACGCAAGTTGTACAAAATAAATAAAATTTGTACAGTGATAACTTTGACTTTAACTTTCAAGTTAAACTACCCACTATGGATAACCTACAGACTTGAGTGTGCTTAAGTTTCGATCGGGGCTAAAACTAAGAATGTATGAAAACCCATATGACAGTTTCGCATGGGCGACGGTTTGACAGTGTCGAACGGACCCGTCTTTTCGTTGACGTAATTAAAGAGTAATTCCGTAGGTCATCCATAATGGGAAAACGGTCGTAACTACGGATTTCGAGCTTCAAGAGTAGGACCCCAGGTTTCATTACAATCTTTTCCCTCACCATTAGCAAGAGGTATAGTTACTAGTGGTGGTGGAATTACGAAAAAGTCGAAGACGGGTCACAACTCTTGGAAAACTTATGTAGTTCCAGTTGTGAAAGGAAGTATTAGGTCGGCGTGGCTTGATGATGGAACATGAAATTCTGAATCGAAATATTTCAATCAAAATTGTTGGTAATTTACGTTTATTTGTACTAATGGGGACGATAACAGGGAAGTTCTATGTAATGTAACGCAAATGTCTAAAATACGATCACCATCCGTGTGGAAGATAGTCTGACTGCCGATTAAAAATATAACGTCGTACAGCGACAAAAGTCTCGAAACAAGTTTAATATCTTTAATTAATCTATTGTGAAATTAGCACATTGTGAGAGTAATCATTACACTAATATAGTGTTAGTAGCAATACAGATAAGGTACCTATTAAGTTACTCACGTAAATTCTATAAAAACAAAAAGTAATTGATGGCAAAATCAATACTAATAAGTTATTGAAATTAGTGCTTAGTTGCAAATATAGTAGTGATAATTTTAAAATATACTACAGATAACGAAAACCTCTCCATAAGTACGATGAAAATAAGGTTTCAAATCGCATAAAAACTCCTGGTTGAAGCACTGAAAATCATACTCAAGTCTTTGCCATTAGGGTAGTATTTCCAGTGCTTGAAATCATACTCAAGTCTGCTCAAATCCTGACTTGAGCATTGAGTAGAGTTCTGGAATACGACCCTTAGAATGTCAAATATTTTTTCCCTTTCTGTGTTATCAAGTGACGTGACGAACAAGTCGAGCGCCTGGTGATAAGCGACACGCCTATCCATTACAGTTATAGTTGGCGAAATATTATTTGCACCGATTCGTCTTACTGCTTCATCTTTATAAAACAATAGGACAAAAGAGTGAGCCGTCTCGGTAACGCACGTGCCATCTGTATAGTGCAAACAACTCTAGTTTAAACACTTTTACGCACTGGCACTTAATTCTAAACTTGATAATATTTATGCGTAAATAACTTGTTGAATTAGTAAGAAAAGAGTCGGCAGTCGGTATTTTATTAAAAAAACGGCTTGATCAGTAAAGACATAATTCAAAACTAGAATTCAGAAAAGGCATTTAGCGCATCCATGATTCGCACGAAGG